GATAAGCCAGGAATATTAGATTTATGCTTTATCATTGCATTCATTTGGAATGATTAAAAATGAACTGCAGAATTGCGTGATAAAGTTAGCAGTAATATGCATATATATAAGCAATAAACTATTTTGTATATAAATGAATATAAATTTAATACAGAATTTGTAAACCAAAATTTATTGCATTAAGTACAATAATATTTGTACTTAATGCATTATTGCATTTTGCAATAAAGTGACTAATCACCAACTAGAAGAAGATATGTATCGCACCAATTCTATTCGATTTAGAATTGTATGAATTATAGAATGGATGGAATGCATTAAATCTTAAACATTATTTGTGTTTGTAAAGGATATTTTTTTTAGATATATTTAACTACTAGATATTCTTAGATGTTCCGCAATAATGTCAATTTAACACTGATCTTCGTCTGTTTTTATGCTTTTATTATTTTTTCTTTTGTGTTGATACTTGTTGCACTAAATTGAAAGTAACTGAAAGAAAAATGAAATCATTGATTTTTAGCTAACCTAACATTATCTGAACCAATTGTTGTAAAACTATTCATAGCAATTAAAGCAGACATAATACCTATTGGACAAAAAAATTTCTATCTAGTGTATTGTAATCAATTATATTAAGTTTCACTGATATTAATACCGAAGTTGATGAATAATTTGAACTTTTCCTACAAAATAGTTTTACTACTTCTACGGTAGTGTCTGATGTTCTCGAATTTCATATACTGCACCATTGATTAATTAATCGTTCTCATTATTTGATATATTAAAATAAAATTAAATTTTGTGATTAGTTGTCACAACCATTGTTTTATTTTAATCAACTAGAAATACAAAACAGAACATAGATTTTAATTGAATATTATATTTTTTTTCCGTAATATTTTTTATAAATTAAAATATAATAAAGACTAACCGTTTAATCCTATGTTTATAATATAAAAAAGCAGGAATATTTTCTGATTCTTATCTTAAAAGAGATTAGGATATTTTATAATCCTTATCTCTAAATGATAGTGTCTTTATTTTAAAATAAAATTTGCATTGGTTGCGGTTATGTTGTGAGAATTCAAAACAGCATGTAGATACTCCACAATGCAGAGTGGGATCAATATTCTGTACAAGCTCATTAGGTTAAATTTAATCAAGAATTTGTTTGAAATTTTTGTTAAGTATGAAAATATGTCATTCTTAATTTATTTTATAAGTGCGCCTAAGAATTACAATGCATGGTAGAATATGTTTATGCCAATACCTTTATTAAAATATTGAAAACATTTAGATTAAAAATTATATTATACAAAGATTATATTTAATAAGTAAAGCCATTACGGATACACTGTAAAACGTGTCTCACAACACTTTTAGAACTGACAATTTTACATCTAGTTATAAAGTGTTAAGCAATAAGAAGCGCCTTCTGTCTTCCCAATGTCTTTTCATATATCTAAAGTTAATGCAAAGAAGAGTTTTAAGTTGTAAAAACCAAAATTCTAAATTCAAAATAATTCTGATATATTCTACTTGAAGGCAATTTCTTCTCCTTTAACATCAAAACAGGTTCTCCATAATGAAGCAAATGAAGAAAAATATGGAGCTTAATAATACAAACGCTTAGGATCATGGATGGATTAAAACTTGAAAACGGACTAAATTATGTTGGCGTTCGTGGATCTATTATAACACAGCCATTCCAATGGAAATTTCTTTTATAGAAAGCTTAACCGATACAAAAACACAAACATTATAATATAGTCGAATAAATTGGTCAAAAGCTGTGAGAATCTTATCTACTCTCTCAAGAGATAGCACATTAGATCTTAAAAGTCACTTTGTTCATTTTCCCTTCTACTAATAATCATAAAATAATATTATTTTTTATAATTTTATTTAGTTACTTAAAATAAAATACAACTTTTATTGAAAAAAGTTATAGTACAACCTAAAATATTGCCAACACGAATGTGCAAACTCTTCGAATATTGTCTAATCATTTCACTTTTGTAACCTTTCATAACGCTTATTTGAACTTAGCTACAATATGGAATGTGACTTTTGCAAGATTCTTTCTAACATTCTTGAGTAGCAACAACTAAATGAACACTAAAATTATTCAAGTTATGATATTATGATCAATAAAAAATTATAGTTAACATTTTTAAAGAATAGATATCTGTTGCTGCTGAAGTCGAAAATAATTTAGTCTTAAAAAGTGTGCATACTGAAATTCTCCTAAAAAACAGTAAAAAGACAGTAATGACAAATTTTACGGACAATAAAAAGCAATTTGAAATAGGAAGATATTATCATAGACTATGATAGAAACTAATTATAAGCATAATTCAGTTATTTTCTTTATAAAATTTCTGTCTTATTTCCTTAATTCAACTTGATTAGTTTATTACTTAGCATCTTCAAAATCGTACTGTATATATTCATAATACAATATTAATATTATAGTTAACACTTATAGTCGCACTGCCATGGGAATCATAAATTACGGTTGTAAATATATGTATTTATTTATATAACTCTCTTAAGCAAAAATACCTACATTTCAAAGTTTATTGATTTTTTTCGTTATTTTATTTAATTTTTTAAATTTTAGTGCATTTTAATATATTTTTGGCGCCCACCTTATTTGGCTGTATTGTTAAACTTAAGAGTTTAGATTATTAGTATAATGTGACTCAAAATGTGACTCAAATAATTTCTCTACCAATCAGCTATTAATATAAAATATTTTTGTATGAAAAATTTTAATCTCATAGAATTTCAATTGCATTAAGTCTGGAAAAAAGTCCAACCGTCTGAAGTGGCAAGTCAACGAACTAAATAAAAAATAACATAATTTCTGTATACGAACATTTTTCAATGTGTGCTTAATTAAATTATTTTGTTAGGACATATTTTTTTTTGTAGATTAAATATTGTTCGTAGCACAGGTTGTACAGAGATTTTTAGTGCCTGCCGAATGGTTTGGGAGCCTCGAATGCTTTATTCAAAGTTTACTGCATCAACGCTGCATGTCAACATTATCAAAGTTTATTATGGAAATTTGCCAATTTGCTGTGCTTCAGCATAAGTCAATATGCCCGCATTTTGTTGCAAACTGAAATTATTTGCCGTAGTCAGTTATCGGCAGCAGTAATGGTAGCAATGGCAACAATTGATATGTTGAGAAATTGCAGTAGATGCTCGTCTATGGCAGAGCAACGCTGCTTACGTTTCAATCCACAATTTAAGTCATTTACTTGCATGAAATGCAGCTGTTAAGCACATTAAGATTACAACGAGCGGCAATTTTAGGGCATAACTACTTGAAACTTGTCACATAGAAGGTAGTTTACTGCTGCAGGTGAACTTCTACTGTAGGATATGCTATTAGGGAAGGAATTTTTGTGACAAACTTTAAACTGTTTCTCATCTGCAATAGCTCAGTTGTGGCAAAATTGCTGTGGTACACTCTTATTTCACATAATTTTTTTAAAGACTTTTAAATTTGTATCTGAAAAGTTATTGCATTTATTTTACAGTTTTTCCCACAAAGGGAAAAGTTATACTATCCAAACTTCATGTTTAACTGCAAAGTCATATTTTATAGTACTGCAATACAAATTAGCATTTGGAATAGCAATGCTATTGACGGACCCATAGCCAGTTGCTGTAACCAACTACGTGGGTTGCTTGATAAGTAGCAAAGTGTGCCAAAAATGAAATTTTCATATCACATATATCATATGTATATAAATATATATAAATATATATATATGTCAAATCTTTAGTAAATATATTAATTTTATATCAGATTATTTAGCTATTTTAAATTAGTAGTGAGAAAAATATATTTTGTTTATTATAGTTCTACACAAAAACTTTAAAGTAATAACTTAAATTTACAATTAACATCCAAAAAAAGGCTTCATATTCTTACAAATTATTTATTAATGAAAAACAAATTACAAAAGTAATGTAGTTACTTCATTATTTATAATTACTACTATTGATCACTTCCCCCAGTGCGGTAAAGGGCATCAATAATTTTTCTAAATGTGACTCTGCTTGTTACTTTTCTATAGATGTCGTTCCTTGTATATCATGTTTCAGCTAACTCACTTTCGATCGTTTTTCTCTGCGTTTTCGCTGGCGCTCCAGGTTTTCTACTGCTTTGCGGATTCTATGTTAAAGCATGCCTCGCGATGTGATTTCTCGGTTGTCAAAGCATATGGACATCCATTTTCACATTTTTATCTTAATTTGTGCTGCTTTTTGATTCCTATGGTGTAGCATACGTTCATTTGATATTCGATCTGGCTACTATATTTTCAGAATTCTACGTAGACACTTGCTGACAAACACTTGCATCCTTCACTCTTTATGTCTGGAGTAGTTAAATAATACACTTTTTAAAAAATTGATTTTGTTTTTTAAAATATTTTGTTTAAACCAATATTTTCTCTGTATATGAAATTTATGTTTAAGTGTTAATGTACTGCATAATTGTTTTTTTATGATATATACTAAAACATTGTTACATTATATTAATATTATATAGTACCCTGATGATGACTATAGAACATTGTCGAAATATCAGATTAAAAAAATTTTTTTTTAAATCAAAAACGATTGCAAAGCATACTATATTTTATTTGATATTTGTTTCGTTAGCAAATAAAACTTTTAAAATCGATTATTCTATTTCTATTCACTTATAAAATCTATCTAACAACTACAACCTTATGTAGAGGTTGCTTACTAAACTCATCTAACCACCCTCGTTTTTAACTCTTCTAGTGCACTTGCCCAACCTCAATCGGCTTTAAAGCTTTTGAACTCTATTGCGCTTTTTGAAAATTTTTAATACGATTCAACTAAAAATATGACAAACGACTACTTGAATATTTACAACACTATCAGTGGAGCACACAACCACAATTTGCAATGTTAGGGAACAGCATTCAACCCAAATTATGAAGTGGAACCTACTTAGCTCCAAACGAAAGAGCAAACAACTTGAACTGTGGCACTTGGGCATATACGGGTATAATTGTTGCCGATGTGGCTGCTGTTGTTGTAGCTGCTACTGGTACTGCTGCTGCTGCTACTGCCACTGCTTCTGTTCCTGCTTCAAACGTTGCTAAGGCATCAACTGATGCTATTGGCGGATCATAAGTACCAAAGGGCGGACAGTGTATCTGAACGCATTTTTAAGCACATGCAAAAATTTCAACTTAAGCTAAGCATACAATGACGTTGATGATGAAACGATAAGATAAATTAATTCAAGGACCCAACTGTGCACGATAATGAGTTTAATTTTTGAAAATATTCACAGGCCGTAGCAAAATCGTAATGACAAGCATAGTCAAGTCAAACTGAATGCATAATGAGTAGGAGTTTTAATCCAAAAATACAGAAAAAAGGGGGAAAATTATTTTCAGAACAGCATACGATATGCAAAACAACTAAAATAGGTACATTGAATTCAAATGGCTTAAGTCTGTAAAGGAGTATTAATCGTAAGTTATATGTACATGTGTATTAAGAGACATATTATTGCATTTAAGAACACAACAAATGTGTGCTAATTGGTACAATTTAAAGCATAGGAGAAAAATTTGTGTATTAGTTAAAAAACTTGTGTAAAACTTCTTATCATATATTGTAAAATTTGAAGCAAGACTTTCAAATAACTGAAATGATACCCTAATCCTATACTGTTGCAAATGGGAATTTCATAGTATCCAGTTTTAAAGCAGTACATATATAAAATGAATAATAGATGTCTTTTTGAAGCAGCACTGCATATCGATCAAAACATCTACAAAAATAATCTTCTTGCATTGAAATTAAAGTACATGAAATACTGAAAGAAATGTTTCAATAATCATTATATTCACAAAAAAGAACATTACATCTTCAAACAGTTTTGGCAAACTACTTTTATTAATAGCTTTTTAAAACATGACTACTAATTTTATGGTCAAAAAAAAATTGAAGATAAACACATCAAAGCATCAACCTTTATTTATATGGGATAATTTCAAGATATGCTGATTATACTATCGAAACCCAAACCACATTCGTCTCAATATTCATTTTTTTCGTTTTCAACAGATTTTCAACAGGTTTTCAATTTTTTTATAAATATACTCAATAGTAACCTGCCCCTCTATTATATGCCTCTATTATATGCATTAAGCCTGTTCTTGTTCAGTAATTTATTCTATAGTATTTTTTGTATATACCATACTCCATATCATTTTTCTTGATTAACTTCTGTCGATTATCTCTGTACTTGCTATTAGAGATAAACGCCAATTTTGTGTAACCTAATATATAATTAAATTAATTTTTATTTCGGTGCGTATTTTTTTTAATTAAGTTTAATATAAAAGAATTTCCCTAATACGATACTGGAAGTTCATGTATTTGTATCATATTTTATATTTGTATTGCTTTCTCTTGAAGCATTCCTATCTAAATAATGTATTATTTTAAGGGAACTATACACAAAGATCTATTGTACTCCTCTCATGGACTTAACGTGTATTTTCATATGCAGTTTCTCAATAAACTGCAGTATCAAACTACGTTTACCGAGTCTAAGTTAATTTGATACTATATAAACAAACGGTACATCAACCAATAGATAAACGGCATATAAAGTAAGTACAAATCCATCGTGTATCTATAACTTACATGTCTATAGACTGGTAAGTAAAATGAATAACTTTGTTTCCCTTAAGGCTACAGGTGAAAGTTGAATCTGCAAGCTTAAATAATAAGACAATCTCTTGCATTTTTTACTGATATACTTTAAGTATTTTCTCAATTTGTCTCCCGTACATGACCATGTAAATACATTCATCAGAATTCAAAAAAAGTTAATGCTAGGATGGAACATATTGAAACACGTAAATATCTTCAATATGTGCAAAAATATATGCATTTCACAAACTTGTTTATAAAAAAATCATTACATGTGCCGAAGTGTGGAAAATTTACAAAAAAGCATGAATTGCGTGCAATGACATTGTCGATGTCGGTGGAAGCTGCCAAAGCAACGCAAATGGTGAATGTCCTTTAAATAAAATGAACATAGACGCTTTAAGTTACCGAATTAGAACATATGCTAACACAAATCCACTTACATCTATTATTATATATTTACGTTATATATAGACAGTAAAGTAAATTTCATACAAGATACTGAAAATATTGTCATATGCATAGAATTTGATGCTAAGGTTATAGAAATATTTTGGTCTTCTGTAGTGAAAAGATATAATAGAAAAATTTTACTAAAACTTTTATATAGAGATTTGTGACAAGTTGGAGGAAGCAAATAGTTTCTGTTTGAGACTAAATAAAAAGACTTTTCAAACTTTTGCTACTGCATGACAAACCATAATAAATTTTGTTAATTTGGTTTTGCTTTGTACTTATTTTGACTGAAGCCTAAACTATTTCTCAAAAAAAATGAGATATCTAAAAATAAAAGAAGAAGACTTACGATAATAGTTTATATTGTGTTTTGAAATTTCCTCTTGTCTACCAGAATTTAAATACTTCTAGTTTCAGTTAAATTAAGTGATAAACTTTTGCTTTATTATTTCAGAGCCATTCAATTTTGTGTTAACAAAATTAGTTGCAGACAAGCCATCATGGATTGAATTACAGATACAAGCGTCTATCTGAGATGATAGTCACTTGGCCATGTACTGCTATTATTCACTCCAACTAAAATCAATTATATTCTTGTTAAACTGGCGCTATAGAAAATGAGACATGTGTATATATGTATGTTTTACATATGTCTCTGGGTTTTATTACAAGTACATTGACTTAGAATTTGTGATAAGATTATCTCTTGTTGAATTAAGTTTTTTTTGTTAAACTGGTTAATATTTTCTTTTTGTTCAGAATTTAAACAAAAAATTAAATTCTTTTAATCGGAAAGTGAAATTTATAGCATGTATGGTATAACTAGTTTTATATTAGAGTGTGAATTTTATTTTTACAAAAATACAAAATCAAATTATAATCTTTTGGTGAAGTTACATGTTTGTCATATTTTAATATTTGGATATTTAATAATAATAATTTAAGCAAACAATATTACTTCCTTAACTTTTTATATTGATGGACGCATATCATTTTATTGTCGGAAATTTGCTTAGTTAAACTTCTTATTCGACAATGTTAGGAGATCTAATACAGGTACCGTGACAAGAAATTGTGAAATATCTTAACCACAACTATTTTTTGAAGAAATAATTTGCAATCAACTTATTGACTGATAATTCCATAGGATAACACGCTGGCAGTGATGCTAAAAAAAAATCCATATAGATGTTAAAAATTTTGAAAATTTCCATTTATAAATTTTTTTGTTTTAGTGATGCTGCTTTTCATGTTTCCAGAACAATGGATTTAAATCAATTTTATTACTTCATATTCTTGAATGAGAGATGTTTGCTTCTTATGAAAAGCACAATCTTGACAGCAAAGGCTTGACTTGATAACTCTGTTTCATCGAGATAAATCACAGAAAACTGGCACCAGAAAATATCAAAAGAGTTCACAAAATCGCATTGGCTATCCGTAGGGTGAAGTTACAGTAGACAGCTGATACCTTAAAGATATCACAGGAACGTCTTGGCTTACTAAACATTTGCTTGTGAAAAAGAGCTAACCACTCTTATCGAAGTGTGAACCGCATTTACTGACAGTTGGCTAACAATGTGTTGCTGATTCTTAGAGCTATTTAAGTTGGATTAAAAGAACTTTTTGCATCGGAATGCAACAATAGACGAAACTTGGATCCACTACTTCACTTTAGAGTGGAATCGGTATTCAGCTAAATAGAAAGTAACCGATGGAATTCACCCAAAGTGTCCAAAAAGGAAAGGCAAGGTTATAGCGTCCGAATTTTAAAATGCGTGGGCATTAACTACCTTAGAAAAACTAGACCATCAATAGCGATCGCTTAAGAGGAGGATACGTTGATGAATAAAGCCGAACATTACTAAAATAATGTTGTTTTATTAGTTATTCTACGGACTTATTAGCCGAAATGTTATACTGAAATTGTAGCTGATTATAGTATGTAATATAATATAAAAGTAGTTGTACTTAGAGATAGTAATTCAAAATTTCTTAGCCAATCATTATATCGAAGATGAAGATCTGATAAATGGAACAAAAGAATTAAATACTAATTTATACAAACTAAATTTGTTGTGTTGACTCTAATCATATAGTTAGTATAAGTACTTACTAAAAGAATAAAAATTAATGCACACAAATATATTTTATTATTTTATTTATATTTTAAAAATACACATCAATTAAAGAAAACTGATTATATTACAGATAACGCAGATGCAAATCATATCTTAAAAACTGACTAAGGCTGAAATTCGACAAATATCTTTCAGTATCTTTCATTCATAACATTTTCATTAATTCGTGGTAATATTTACGGAGAAGATACCGATCACATGGTAATTAAGATGATACCGATATAAACGACTTATATAAACTTTTTCTAAAATTGTTTAGAAAACGGCTTTCAAAAACTGCATAATTGCACTATTTTATGAAATCTTATAAAATGTTTAAATTTGAATAGAAGGCAGTGCTCGGTGGGTTGGGGGCAATCATTAATAATTTCATCAAATTTTTTTTCAACATATAATATATTATATAACTTTATAAATAGAAAAATAGCATATAAAAGCGCTTCAAACCAAGGAACACTAAGCAACTTCTACCAGAAGAAGATAAATAATTATATACAATAAAAACCAAAATTCTTTCCAAATTTTGTGTTGTGGGAGCTTAACAAAGTGGTACAGCCTTAGTAGATAGCAATACTAAGTGCGTAAATGTGATCAACAACACCAAAATATATTGAAATTTAAAATTAAATCAAATATAAAGAGCTAATGAATAATAAATATTGCCAGATTGAGAGTCGAAACACTTCTATGCAAATTGGTATTTTTAACTGCATTGACTACAATTAACGACCCAACAAGGTGTGTAAATAAAGAAAATTAGCGAAATTTAATTAAATCCTGCTTTGCACACAACACTCTCATCTGTTTTGGTAATTAGACATTATTAATAACTTAAACTTACTTAATTGTATTGTAAATAATAATAACTTGTAAGGCACAACATATTT